TGTGTGTGTGTGTGTGTGTGTAGTATATCTATCTAAAGGAAAGTTGAACTCACTTGACCAAACGTCCCTCAGAAGTTCTCACACTTACATACTGATCTGATGCATCTGGTCCCACTGATGCTGAAATGCGAAGGCTGGGAGTCGGCAAGGCCTGAGCTCAGGTCTCAGCTGGCCACTTACCATTACGGTGTAATTTGGGGCATTTCACTTAACCTCCACGAGCCTCCGTTTCTCATCAATAAATTAAGATACCTGCACACAAGGGGCTTGTAAGGAATGAATGGGGTCATTAGAATTAAGACGTTTATTTGTATACATATCTTATTTCCTTTCCTAGAGCGCAACCTCTCTGAAAGCAGGAGGAACCTGGACCCTCTGCTCTCCCATTGCCCCCAGCACACCGGACAAATAGTAACCATTCATTTAATAGAGATTTATTGGCTGGATAAATGGGGTGAGAGGGTAGGTGGGCGGTAAGTGAGCAGACAAATTCAAGACAGGAGAAGCTTGTGCCAGAGACCCCTGTGAAGGGCGAACCATTCCAAACCACAATTAAGCAGTTTAACGACACAGCAAGCAGGAACCCTCCCAGCCTTCTTACAGCAGAAAAGCGCAGGTATCGGCCCATTAGCCTCTAACCTTGCTCTAAGGACCTCACGGCAGTACTCTGCGACTGCCCTGTCGAGTGCCTAATTCAATCCTGGAGACAGACTCTCGCCAAAACCTATATCTCTTCATCCTCCGCCTGAGCTCGAACCCCTGACTTATTAACCCTCTTCTCCCGGTCTCGTTTCTCGTTCCCCTTCCTTTCCTCGTAACCACCATTAGTAAGGCGTGTGTAGGGGCAATCCTAGTCTCTAAGGGAGGGAGGGAGGGTCTTGCGGCCGGAAGCCGGAAGCCGGAAGGAGGGCTGTGAGTACGTGGTCCGGGAAAGCCGGAGCCGGACCCCGGGGGGCCGGCGACATGGAGCCGCTGTACCAGCAAACGCACAAGTGAGATCGCGTCGGGGCACGGGCGGGGCGAAGTCAGGCTGCGTGAGGCCGGCCTCCCGGGCTGTGGCCCTAGGCATCCGCCAGTGTGGAGGTCGAGTCCTTCAGGCCGGGCGCAGCAGGGGGCAGCTCGGAAGTGCTCGGACCGAGGGTCAGGCCTGGGTCCTGAGACGTTGGCTCCTGTGATCGTGGACTGTGACTACCTGCTGGGTAGACTAGGTGAAGGGAAAGTCGCACCTGCAGGATATAATACTTTGTTCCGCACCTGCCAACTCAGTGCTCCGGGTTGGCAGAGCTCGTGGGGAGACAGGGCCCCTGAACATAGGAGTTTGCTGTTTAGTTGGGAAAGTCAGAGAATACCAAAAAAAGAGCTAACGTGTGGCAGGATGAAAGGGAGGGTAAAAGGCGCAGTACAAAGAGGATCAGCTTAAGCAACTTAGAAGGCTCCAGCACTGGGCGAGTGTCAGAAAGTTTCTTATAGCTGGCAGCTCCCAAACGATACCAGTCTCTACTCTTGGTTGACTGTAATCTTGTTGCTGCTACATTGTGATATTTTTCTTTTATTCTGATTTGGTTTGTACTAAAGAGCAGATTTTATGGTACAAAGAAATTGTTGTATGAGTAGCACTAAGTATTATTACTTGTTATTCATATCAAGTTACAGGTTACCTTTAAGGAAATTGAGTTTTGACTTAGGTATTCATGACCTAAATTCGTTGGTAGTGTCCTTTATTCATATTGCCCTGCATTTTGGGAACTTGCAGAGATGTAGTTGTGTTTGGTAATAGGGACCATGCCTATCCTGTTACTTTGGGGGAAAAATTTATGATTTATTTAATTTTTTTCCTTTGATACAATATATATAACATAAAATTTACCATTTTAACCATTTCTAAGTGTAGAATTCAATGGCATTAAATACTTTCACAATATTGTGTTTGTCACACAAGCTATCCATTTCCAGAACTTTTTCATCAGCCCGAACAGAAACGCATGTACCCATTAAGCGTCACCTCCCTGTTCCTCCCTCCCAAGCCCCTGGTAACCTCTGTTCTACTCTGTGTCTCTGAATCTACCTACTCCAGATGGCATGTAAGTGGAATCAGACAATATATGTCCNTATACATATACAGGTGCTGAAATATGGGTTCTCTGAAAAACTGGCTTCTGAGCTAAGAGGAGGAGGGCATTTGAGGAAGAGAGAACTAAAGTGGGAACAAGTGTGGCCCATTTTAAAAACAGCAAGAAGGCCAGGGTGGCCGGAGCTAGGGCAGGAGGGGGATGACTGAATGGAGACCCTGAGGAAGGCAGGGCCCCGTTACACAGAGTGAGCAGTCTGCAGGAGGGACTTGATTTTTGTGTCCGGTGCAGTTGGCTTCCATGGGAAGATTGCTTAGACCTCTTGTGTGAGGGGGCACCAGAAGGGAACAGCAGGACCCCAAGAATAGATCTAGTCCATTAACGCCCATGGCAGTCGGTTTCCTCCACAATGTCTGGGTGCCATGCTTTTGTCTCTGGCTGGGCTGAGTTGAGCAAGATTTTTTTCCTCTGATTCCATCTGGGGCCTGCGATGGACCCAGCTGGATAAGCAGCCTCCCTCCCTGAATGCGGCCTTGAAAGCATCTTCCTTGTGGTCGAGCCATGTGGAGCCCATGAGGTTAGGCAAATCAAATAAGACAGCAATTAAACTTTTTCCTTTGCTTTCGATCAAGCCCAGTCTTTGGCTGTGAAGTGTTTGCAGAAATGGAGGCTCATAGATGCCTACTTGTACAAAGCCTGTCAGAAACGAGTGGGGGAAGGCTATGCACTGGAACAGACAGCTTCCTCACAGGTGTAGGGTTCAGAGAAGTTCACTGGACACCTCGATCCTGCGCGCGCGTACGTGTTGTGTTGTGTTGTGCGTGTGTGTGTGTGTGTGTGTGTGTGTGTGTGTGTGTGTGTAAGACCGAGATGGAGAGAGAGAACGCTGTGGCAGGAAGTTTTCACTTGGCCACATTTTAACAACAAACAAGGAGCAGTTTGTGGCCAAGCAGTCAGTGTAGAGGGAAAAACAAACAGACAGAGCAGGGGGTTGAGAAAGTCAGGGATGGGTTTCTCAAGCTGCTCCTGGGGTGTGGGAAGAAACACAAAACGCTGGGATCTGGTTGCCAACAGACACTACGAGTATCCAGCTCCCCTTCTTCTGGGTAAAAGAACCCTAGTTCTTATGAGACACCCAGCCTCCCTAGGGAAGGGAACTCTACCTGCAGTTAAGGGTGTGGTCATCGCTTTTCTTCTTTCGGAGGTTAATTAGAGCATGGGCAAGTGATGCAACACTAGCCAATGAGAGTCGAAGGCAAGTTCTGCTGGGGCTTGTGGGAAAGGTCTCCTCTCTTAAAAAGGGTTTCAAGAACAAACGGTTCCTCTTCTGCTTCAGTTATTTACAGTATAGCCTGCAGGACTCAGATATGTGGCAGTCACTTTGAGGTGAGCTGGCAGGCACAAAGATAGGAAAAATTTGAAGCTCCTAGGGTCAGCCCGCACCTCCAGAGAGTGAACACCTCCTGAAATTTTGTGTCCTTGGGACCTGGCTTGCCTCATCCTGGTCCTGGCTCTAAAACCCCATGCTCCTCCAACCGAAAGCCTGTCTTGAATGCCCTCATACCCCACTCTGAGACTGTGGACCTGAGGGACCTCAGAGGAGCCTATCTGGAGAACTGGGGACCCACTTATGCATCAGTATGTGCCAGCCCTAGGTGTCAGGCTGGCAGGGGTGAGTGGGTGGGAGAAGTTCTATCCAAGTCAGCTGTCTGCCCTCAGGCACCTGCGTTCTCATAGGGGAGCCGAAGGGGAGAACCTAGACCAGCGCTGTTCCACGGAAACATAGCACAAGCTATAAATGTGAACCCAATGTTTCATTTTAAATTTCTAGAAGTCAAATTCAAAAAGGAAAAAGAACCAGTTGAAATCCATTTTAATAACATTATTTCAACATGAATCAATGTAAGAAAGTATTGAGATATTACATATACTTTGTGTACTCCTTTTTTGAAAGCTGGTGTGTAACTTACACTTACAGCCCAAGTCGACTCGCACTAGCCACACTTCAAGTGCTCAATACCTAGTGTGGCGAGTGGCAAGTGTATTGGACAGCGCAGCCCGAGACCATGTGGCTCGGACCATGGGGACAGCACCTTCATCCCAAGGAGAGAAAAAAACAGGATGCGCCAAGGCATGGCAGGTTTGGGGGCCTTGGAGAGGAGCTGAGAGATGTCTTCTTGGAGACTTTTTGATCTCTGCCCTTCCAGGATCCCTGTCTGCAGGGCATTGCTATGTGTGTGTCACCCAAGAGGCAGTGTGAGCTGGGGAGCTGAGCACTGGACTGGAGTCAGGACGT